AAGACGACGCTAGATTTCGCAAATACTCACCTGATGTAGGCCGTCTGCGAGGCCTGGATGCACCCTTTATCTTTATGACTGCAACAATGCAAGTTGGCCATGAAGACTACTTGTTCCGGCTATTCTGCATCACCAACGTCAAGATCTTCCGAGAACCGACTGGGCGACCTGAGCTTCAATTCCAGACTGTCCGTAACTGCAAGTGGGAGGTTATGATGACAAGGGTGGGCAGGATTGTGACTGATGCTACACTAGTGGACCAGGACCGTAACATTTTATTTATTGAAAACAAGAAGGAATGCAATGATGCTGAGGTTGATTTGAAGAAGCTCCATCCGAATCTACCAATTACAAAGTACTACTCTGGACTACCTGAAGCAGAAGCACACTCAAATGTAAAATTTTGGCGAACAACACCCAGGTGCTTGATGATAGCTACGAGTGGCTTTGGAGCTGGAATCAACTACAAGCATGTGCGAAACGTCCTGATTTTTGGCCTACCTGAAGATGACACTGAAATCAACAAGTGTTTCCAGCAAGCTGGCCGGGCTGGAAGAGATTTGAAAGCTGCAACTGTGTGGTTGTTTGAGATGGGGAAGTCTGGGAAGGGAACCTTGGGGGAGAAGTTGATGGATATGAAGAAGTGTATTACTGGGACGTTTTCGGTACCACTGGACGGAGAGAGAAGGGACTGCAAGGATGTGGGATGTCCACGAGTCTGTCTCCACTGTGTGCAGAATGGGAGACACAGTGAAAAACGCCCTGCTGGAGAGGAACTACAAGATCCTCTGCCTGGCACTAGACCCATGTACTTGGCGAATGTAAGGCGCTCCATTGTGCAGACTGACATTGTTGATATACTGGCTCTGGAGATCACAAGGGTTCGGTCTCTGGTAGCAGGACTATGTGGGTATTGTCTTGCGCAAAAGATTGAGACGAAACACTTGGACAAGAGTGGCCGGTGTGACAAGATAGGTTGTTTGAGGTGTACAGGTAGGTTGTCACTTCCTGGCTTACATTACTGTGATCTGACGTGTATGACTTACCAGGCAGCCACGGATGGCCCAAGTGTCCTGCACTCCCCATGTCCAAGATTCTTGAAAAAAATAGCAATGCTGCCTTTCGTCTTTGTTATTTCTGTGGCCTTGGCGACAGGCAAGGCAAAGATGAATTCCATGGCAGGCAGGGGGACAAGATTTCAAGAACCTGTGACAGTGGACTCCAGAATGTGTGTGACCGGTTCTGCTGGTACTATTTCCATCACCGCAAGGAGGTGTTAGTCAGTCTTGTCAAGACTCTGAGCTGTGGTGATACCTATGTTCAAGTGCGTTGTGCTACAGTTAATCAGTTTCAGGCCTGGCTAGGAGGGCGGGGATGGCTTGGGTGTCCATGGGCCAATATGATCACATTGTTTGTTGTATTAAACAGTCCTGATATGATGCGCAAAGTCACTGAAAGTCATGTTGCTTGATTCTGCATGTAATGAAATTTCTATATTGCTGGCGCGTTAGCATTGTCCCATTCCCGTCGGCTAAAAACTCGCCTGAGGCGAGATTTTGACGGCTAGATCCCTCCCGTCAGTTAAAAACTCGCCTGAGGCGAGATTTGGACGGCTAGAACCCTCCCGTCGGCCAAAAACTCGCCTGAGGCGAGATTTTGACGGCTAGAACCCTCCCGTCGGCCAAAAACTCGCCTGAGGCGAGATTTGGACGGGCAGAACCCGCCTGTCGGCTAAAAACTCGCCTGAGGCGAGATTTTGACGGCTGGAACCCTGCCGTTGGTCAAAAACTCGCCTGAGGCGAGATTTCAAAGGTTAGCACCCTCCCGTCCGCTAAAAACTTGCCAGGGGTGGTGCTGTAAGTCGGGGGTGGTGTTGGGAGTGAAAATTTTTCACTCAACAGTACTTGCATGATGAAATCTTCCCCCCTTCTGAAACCTCACCTGATGGTCGGATGGAGGAAGATGATCCCACGCTTCATGGTGTATGAGCCTGGTTTGTTGGTTCATATATTAGTCTTCTCTGGTGCTTGCGTGGTCTATAGCTTGGCCTAGCTACGGGGTGGTGCGTGAGGGGCACTTGACCTCACGAGATGGCGCGCACTATGTTGACATAGTCTGTGAGATATTGGCCAAGGAGAACTGACTTTGACTCACATGAGGGGGAAGATCATGCTGTGTATCCATAAGGGTAAGTCAAGGGTTACGCTCAAGCTTCTTGAGCGTGACCCTTGACTGGTGCATTGCAACAAATTATATCCACCAGTGGCTTCCCTGGACTTCATCTGTTTTGTCCGTACTTTGCATGAAGCATGAATGCCCAATGTCAATGGGTTACAGGGGTGCTGCTTTTGCATGCACTCATGCAATGCAGGAAGCATAAGCATTGGCTTCTTCCACTTGATGTCCTGGTTATCTGGAGGTAGTATGCTTATACCTAGGGCATGAATGTTTTGTGACAAGATAATATGCTTATAGTGGGGGTGATCTCAAGTAAGTTAATTGGATGTCGAGTGGTATCCAGCTAGAATGAGAATTTCCTGATGCTCCTGGAATGGCATTGGAATTACCACAGCAAAGATGGCTTGCTTCCTATCAGTACACTTTCTACATTCAATAGAGGCCAGCGTAAAATTCTCAGCTGGCCTTGGATGATCGAATTGCATGATTGGATGTCTACAAGGTCTTATTTGATGTCTACAATTACATATTTGATGTTTACAACATGTAACATGGTCAAAAGGCCTCCTAACAACCCTATGCTGCGGCCTTTGGTTATTTAAAGTTTGATTTGGGGTCTACAGGTTCCTGGTTGACCTGTACATTGTGTAATGTCCAGCCAAACAGCCCAATGGTGGATTGGGGGTATTAGGGGATGTTTACAACATCAAATAAGATCAAATGTCCATGTAGAATCATTTTTGGGATATTCTAATGTATATGCTAATACACAGGTTAGGTTGTGTTAGCATATACATATTATCCTTATAGAGTTTGGCCTGCGGTGGTGTTGAATGATTGGCTTATGTCAGTGTTCAATGTTTCAATGCATTCACAAATGAGTGAAATTGCAGAGTCGAGGCTATTGATGGGGTGTTGCAGAGTCAGAGTCATGGTCATGGTCTGACCATGACTGGAGGTCCAGCCACGAAGCTCAACGCAGTGACACCGATAATCTGATTCCACACAGTGTGTCAGAACCAAGTTGACATGCTGTCTACACAAAATGACATTGGATCCCGAGTGTTCAGAAATGAGCAAACAAGAGCAGTCACTTCACCAACATTTGTGAAGATGAAGAGGGTAAAACCGCAGTCAAGGCGCACTGACAGGTCTACACCAAGTAAGTCAAGGCGAATCAATAGTTGATTCATGATGCAGAGTCATGTGAGCGGTACAGTCTTTCAAAAGGCATATTCAAGTCAGAGTACAAAAGCAGAGTAAAGACCAAGTGTCACATCAAGACCAAGTGTTAAGTCAAGACTCTTCAGAGGGTTGTCAGTGGTCAGAGCCAGAGCCAAGAGTCAACCCAGTCGCACAGAGTAGGATGCAAGGTAGGTTGAGACCAGGAGTTTGAGAACAAGAGTTGAGATGGTCCTGAAAGTATTAAAGTTTTGCCTACCTGGAATAAAACCTAAGATCAACTAATACCAATAGCCGTGTTAGAGGGACTCAAGGCCAGTCCAAGACCAACATCCAAGTCAAGAATGACAGGCCAGTGTAGACCAATATTGTAATTGAATCAAGTCCACGTGGAGGGCAATGTCATCACCAAGACACAGGTTCACATATATAAGGAAAGGAGGGAAGGGAGAGTAACTAACTGTGCACAACAGTGGATACCAAGAGCAAATTTAAATTGTGTCATGGTATCCCAAAAAGGTGAGGCAACACCCCGCAAGTCAGGTCACTAGCAATGGTCAAGCTGAGAAAAACGGGTGGCAGTAAGAAATCAGTGGATATCAAGTCAATACTTCTCAAATCGCAGTGGTGTTATGAAATAAAAAATGCCCCAAAGAACCCAAACAAGAGCCAAAGGAGACGGAGGGTCCAAAGGCCCCCAAGGGGGAAAGAATACATAGGTGGGTAAACGCAACGCAGGCCCCAAATAACCATGGGTGACAAAAGATGGACGACTGAAGGGGACATAGGGGCCAAGGGTATGCAAGGTCAAAGAACATGCAAGCCAGAAGAATCCAAGGTGATTCGACGTAGGGCCCAAGTGAACGCAAAGGGCAAAATAGAAATGTTCAGGAAGGCTATTTTTGAAGCTGTAGAGGGCATCGAGTTTCACTTCCAATCTCTTAAGCCTAGCTACCGCCTCCCTGCTTCGAGACCTCAGGGCAGGGGCGCACGGGGCGCATTTTGGTGAGGTGCGCCCCGGTCCATTTGCCGCGAGCCCCGAGCCCTAAAACCGGGGCGCAACTCGAACCATTGTCCGCCGAAAACGCAATTTCGGCGGACTCAATCTCTTGTATGTGGTCCGCCGAAATTGAATTTTCGGCGGAGCCTTCGCTGAATCACATGACTCACAGCCCCGGGGTTCGAAAGATGAGTAATCAACCCTACTCAGGCACTCATGCCTCCTCTTGAGCCATGAAAACGCCACACACATATACTCCTGGCTATGTACCCGTCAATATTCTTATGAATGGTGATAGTGACAGCCCACACGCAAACAATATTGTCATGCCCAGAGCGTCACAGGTGACCCAGTGACACTCTGGATGTAACCCTCTTGTCAGTAGATACACAACATCAACAGCAGAATCAGTTGCAAGCTGCAGGACCATGTCAAAGTCATCACACTCAGATCACCATTTACAACACCTAATTATCTGCCACGTACTCCCCCAGGTCAAGCGGAAGCCCAGCAGGGTCCTGCAATGGCACTTACACATGCAGAAGCACCAGCCAGTGCGTTCCAACCACTAGACTTAGGTGAACTACCCCTATGACATTAATGGTAAGTACTTATACAAGTACGTACCATTACTTTTACCGGCGCTATAGTCTAGCGGTTAAGACGAGCGTTTTGACGCTTCACATGGAGACCACCTGGGTTCGAGTCCCAGGTGGGACCATTTTGACCGGAACTAGTCCAGATCTGTGAAAGGTCAGGCATGCGAAAGGTTCATGTACACCCAGATGTGATACTCCGCTCGAAACCTAACCTAACCTACTATGGTGATAACCAGTTAGGTTAAACGAAGATGAGGTTCCAGGTCAACTCGAAGTCGACCCTCCAACTTGAACCACAAAGTTGAACCACCATCACTTCCATCCATCCATCCCATTATCCACAAAATCGCAAGTAGCCTCAGCACTCAAGTTTCAAGACTCCTCTTCATTTCAATCAACCCCACAATCGAATCGAACGAACGAAGTGAGTGAAGATTTCCCATCTCCACTCCCTTGTAGCTCACTGCTGTGAGCGTCACTGACTCTCACCAACCTCATCTTTCAAGTCGCAGAAGTCGATTTAGGTAAGTCGACACGAGCTTGACAGAACTACAATACTAGCTAACTCTGCTCTCGAAAATCCACCCAGGTAACATGTCACAGGTAAGCAACCCTCAAACCTCATGTGCACCAGCTCCCTTCCAGGTGGTTAATTAATCCGATCGATTGTAGGAAAATAATTCACAGGCCACCAGCAGTCCTTTATCACAGCCAGCTCCGAGGGTAGGAAAGATCAGACAGGTAGGTCTTAATCCACCTTTGAAGCAGAAGGTATCTGAAGGCTGAAAATCGAGTTTACTAGGTCCTTGCTGAACCCACCCCATCTCCTACTGGGTCACCTCCCCCAAATCACGCTGAGGAGACGGATATTCAGATGGAATCCCAGGTCAGATCTCTCTATTAGCACATCACAGGAAACAAGTAGCTGACCTACCCTTGATTGATTCCAGTCGAATGAAGGTTTGGAAACGATGTTCGATGATGACGCCTCGAACGCAGAGTCCGATACTGAGGCGGTCCATGTAAGTATTTTTCAATTCTTTCATTGTGAATAATTTCGATAACAATATAATCACTCTGCAGGCGGCCCCTCTCACAGACCTCAGCTTAACGCCGGAAACCGCCGCCGAAAAACTCAAGGGCATCAAGATTGCTAAGGTGGAAAAGGACGCCCTGCAGGTAAGCTGAACTCGATTATAGCGCCACGTCTACATCTCTCTACCCCACTCTTCAATCCCCTCCGCCGAAATATCGTTTTCGGCGGACGCTACGATATCACCCGCCCATGGTGACTCCTCCAAAGCGCAAGTCCGCCGACTCCGGTCTTTCGGCGGATGATGCACTCCTAACCAAACGCTACGTCCGCCGAGCTATGAATTTTGGCGGACAAGGGCTTGCAACCCCCTATCCCCTAGGTCTTCCGCCGAAAATTGATATTCGGCGGAGAGCGTGTACTCGGATAGAGACTGACTAATAATCTCCTTACGTTAGGAGCCACAAACACCATCACAAGCAGTTAGGAAGATGAAAGTCGATAAGGCTCTTCAACGTTATCAGAAGTGTAAGGATTGTGATGTGTATCTCCTCAAAGTTCAGATGGCTGACTCTTGAATGGCCTTTCCAGTTAAGGCAATTCACGAGAACTCTTTGAAGGCATTCAAAGAGTTCCAGGAAGAGCGCAAGGAAGATGACGACCCTGACGATTTTTACGGCGAACTGGAGCTGATGATGGGGGCATTGTCTCTATCTAACCAGGCCCTCAAGAAAAGAGAGAGCAAGTTAAACGAGGCGATCACAGACGGGCAGGACGAAATTGAGTTCATACCGTTCCGAAACCCTATGCCACAGCTGCTCAGGCCCACAGCTCGCGTCAAGAGTGGTAGGTCTGGCGGATCAGGTGAGTCAGATTATACTTCATCATTATATATCATCATGATATATCTCATTCTAACTTGCATCGGTTGTGTAGGCGGTAGCAAAGGGGTTAAAAGATATTTAGACCTGGAGGCCAAAGTGAGCGAGAAAGAAGTTGAGGAGGAGGGCTGTGGAGGCAGAAAGCGTAGAAAAAAAGAATACAAAAGCGAGGAGTTCGTTTACGACGACGAGCATCTCGACATCCACCTTGGCGAACAAGATACGACTGACGAAGGCAGCAGCACCAGCGATGACGAAGTAGATATTGTTGGTCCGGATGCCAGTCAGCAACCAGCTGCGGTCGTAATGGCTGAGGACGCCATCAAGAAAAGCACAGCACCCGCGAAGAAGACGGAAAAGGCTCAAGACCGCGTAATCGAGCAGCTCCCCATCTCAAAATCATCCATATTTCACAACTCGGACGCAATCCTCGACGTAACCAGTGAGTATTTTGGTCCTGCCCCTTGTCCGCCGAAATCTCTATTTCGGCGGACGCCCCTCTCCTATTTCGACTCCCATTTCCATCATTTCTCTATCACCATGTCCGCCGAATTTCCGTTTTCGGCGGTCGCTCTTTCACTCCACCTACCTACGCACACTGGCCCGAATAACCACTTCAGGCGGACTACAAGTCACTCTATATCCATCTTTATGTCCGCCGAAATATGTCTTTCGGCGGACGATTATAATCATTCAGTCTATCTTCATCTCCGCCTAAGTTTGTCTTTCGCCCGACGTTCTCTTGTTATCTCTATTTCTCTTATGATACAAATGAAAATCATGTCCGCCGAACTCTGTCTTTCGGCGGAGGTTCTCTTCATTTCTCTCTGGCATCATGTCCGCCGATCTCTGTCTTTCGGCGGAGGTTCTCTTCATTTCTCTCTGGCATCATGTCCGCCGAAACACAGCTTTCGGCGGACCATCTTTTATCCACCTCGCTTTTCTATTTCATGCTTGATCACTCTGGCTGACTGTCTCTCATTGTGTAGAACTTCTGCATCTACCTACCAAAGATGAATCCGAGTTTCTCCGAAAGGCCGCCAGTACCCTCACTGGCAATATTTTCGACTGGGGCGAGGCTCTGAAGGATTCGGTGGTTGGGATAATATCGTGCTGGGAATACCACGAAAATAGCCAGCTTGGACAGCCGACTCAGGAGACGATTCAGCCCTTGGTTGTTTTGATGAAGCGCACAGTAGAGGGGAAAGAAATCAAGAAACACATTGAAACATGTAAGTCCTACATCACGCTTTGATTCTTATTTCGAGGTGGAACTCATTGCCTTGTGGTTGTAGGTCCGCGCTTGATTCAAATCGCCACGACCGATCCTTACCTCACTGAAAATTCGATCGAGTGGTCTCTAATAAATGAGTCAACTCGTTACCCATGGAAGGATCGAAATCGTATCTTTCGAGCATTCCACTCAATGGCATGCCGGACTGGAAAGGAGCTTGTATGGACTACCGAAAATGACATCAAAAATAAAGTGAAAACTGCTCATAAGACGCTTCATAAAATCTTAGAGGAAAGTGTGGATATTATCTCTTATAATACTAAGGCTGATCAAATTAAAATTCAAACTGAAGGTGAACACAAGGTTCACTCTACTCAAGTTCCCATGTCCCAAAGCATTGCTTGGGCATGGCAACAATGCATGATCAAAGCTCATGAAGAAAAAGAAAATAAATCCAATAAAGTACACCATCAAGGTATGAGCTGGCTTCAACAGCGCTTTTTATTGATTTTATCTGGGGTTATGCTAGTTTATGAAAGGGATGTTTACAACAGAGCTCTTGAAAGATTTTGTAAAAAGACTCCTAGGACTCCTGAACAGATCACTGCAAGAAAGAATGTATTAAAAGGTACTATTTTAAATCAATTATCTTTAGATTATGTTAGAAAAAATCCGCAAAAAGCTTTACCTCCTTCAAGAAAGAATGAAGCTCAAAGTGAAGAAGTAATCAAAGTGTCTGAACAAGAAATTGAAAAAGCTGCAAATGAAGAAACTTATGAATTCAGAAGATTATCATTACAAACATTAGCTTTATTTTTTATGTTTGGTACCTCTGGGTTATTTCATGTTTGGGTTTGGAAGAAGGAACAGAAAATGACTGATGCTGCCTCAATGATTCATTTATCTAGTGTATTAGCTCAAAGAAGAAAGAATAACTCATCATCTGAACCTCATGTATTTTATCAGAGAGCTTGGAGTAGACTTGATCATCACATGTTTAGTATACTTAGAGAATTTATTACTGATAAAGGTGATTTCAAGCGCACTCTGGACTGGCCAAAATTAACTACTATGTTCCATGATAGATTTGCACCTACTACTTTATGTTATTTATATAGTTTAGACTTATGTTTAGAGATTCATGCTCCTCTCTCAACCAGAGCTCCTGATGGGTCCAAGGCTCCAGATTTCGACTTCAATCAAAGAAAAAAAGGTCCAGCTCTTATACCTATTACAGAAACCTTCAAGTCTGTATGGCCAAGTACTTCAGGTGAACCAGTTCCTGTTACTGATCCTAAACAGATGTATATAGAAGCTGATGGGTCTAGAGTTACCAAAAATAACCCTCTCAAGGCCATAACTCAGGCTAAGGAAAAAGCTAGAAAGGATAAAGAAAAGGAGGCTGAGGGCAGTAGTTCTAATGCTAGTAAATGATGTTATACTTAGGGTTGTTTCTTTTCTTGTTTTTCCATGTCACTCTTTGAAATATACTGCCTTTGCTGTGATGTTCATTCTTTGAGTGCTGAAATCTCCTGCCTGAGACCAATCTCCTGTGCCAAAATACATTTTTGAGCGGACTTCACATCTCCACACAAGGTACATGTATGTCTAATAACAAAGGTCTGCATATAGTTCTGTATATGCATAAATCACCTTGATATATGTAGGTGCATGAGAGTAGCAAATGCATGTACATGAATGGGTATCCATCTATGTAGATATACAGTATGTATGTAGTATAAGAGTATACATATATGTATGCTTTCAAAGACATGTGATATAGTAAGTAACGCTAATGTAAAAGGGTGTATATACAGCTGGGTATATAGAGACCGCATTACTTAGGTGTAAATAGGGTAGTTTGTATTTTGACATATATACCCACATACTAATACATGTGTATCATTGTTTAAGCAGATGTATACATGAATTATATTGCAGCACAGAATGCAATATGTGAATGTAAATGAGTGC